TTTTATATATATATATATATAAAGTGAACAAACTTTTATTGTGTAAAAGGAGAAGGAGTGAATTTTATCTATTATATCTAACTATGAAATGTTAACACAGACAGTCCTCTGTAAAATAATCTCACCATAAACTATCATATATAATTTAACTAAATTCATTAACTTTTATAATAATTACTTTACAAGTTGTACATAAAATACTTTATGTATAATAAGTGTTCATAATGTAAAATACTTGAATTGAGATTTAAATTAAACTCATAAAAAATTACAAATATAATATATATTAACAAAACCTTTTAATTGAACGACTAAATTGATGAGATTTATCATTTATAAAATGTGTAGTTTAATTAACGAGATATATCTCTAATGACAATAGATTACATACGGAATGTATTTATATAATAAGTAGCAGGTCCAACAATCCTTCCGCTAGGAGTATTATAGCATGTCATATGGGAGTGTTATATATATATATATATATATAATTTTTTAAAATTATTAAAACTGTATTGATCCGACAAGTCACTACACTTAGTACATTATAGTTGTTATGCAATGAAAAACATAAAGAATTCATTTACACTAGGTTATGATGCAACAATATATATATAATTCATGAAAATGATCAATATAATGTTCAAATACTAACAATAAAATAATTATTTATACCCATGGATTGGTTCGTTTATTTGCAGGTTTTTATAGGCTGAATACGAATTTAAAAAATATATTTATTTTTTAGACCGGACTTGTCTAGCAATATAAAATGTAGGTTTCGTGAACCGGATTCATCTAAATACCTACCTTTATATATATAAGGATCAACTTATTTTACTTAATAATTCATGTTCTATATTAAATTTCAATGATCTTATTATTAGATTAAAAATTCTTAAAACATATATTAAATCTACAAATTCTTAAAAAATTTAAAAATTATTTGATACTTCGTTTCATTAATTTAAATTGATAGATAATCATTAAAACATTTTATACGTAATTTGATTTTATATAATGAAGTATCATATATGATTTTTAAATTTATTGAAAATTTATAAACTTAATCTATACATTAAGAATTTTTAATTCAACAGTTAAATCATTTAAACTTGTTTAAAACATTTTTTTTAGTGAAATAAGTCTACTCTATCAATATTTACACTTGAATATATATATAAAATAAAAAAACTCAAGTCTGACCATTTATGTGATGTTGGCATTTCTAAAGGGATTAAAGCATTATATATCTTATTTTGTCGGACATGTTAGAATATATGATAATATATTCTGATTTATTATAATATCTGTTAGGCGTATATTTAGTTCCTTATTTATAGCTAATTTGTTTCCCAATTTTAGCCAAATTATACTTTGTATAATGTCTGAATTATACTTTGTATAATGCGTATATAAACATATGATTCTAATGGAATGAATCAAGGAATTATTGTCTTTTATGTGATCAGATTTATTATTTAAAGATCCTTCACCTTTTTTCTAACTTCCGCTCACAGCCCTAGCGCCGTCCCGCTCTGCTTCTTTGTCTTATTCATCCTCCTATCAACCTCCATGTTTGACTCAAAATCTTCCTTTCACCCTGCTCTCGCTGTATCTAACATTAGGAACCACGTTCCCATCACTCTTGAGATGGAAAACGTGCAATACATGACATGGGTGGAACTCTTCAAAATTCATGCACGATCTCATAAAGTAATTGATCATATTATTCCTCCAGCGAAAGACAAGGAGAAAGTTCCTCAGACAGAGGAGGAGAAAGAACTATGGTCAACCTTTGACGCTACCATTCTTTAGTAGATTTACGCCACTATTTCTCATGCTCTTTTACATACATTCTTGAACTTGACATCACGACAATGGAGGCTTGGAATAGATTGCGTGACATATTCCAGGATAACAAACACTCTCGTGTCGTCACCCTTGAGTATGACTTCACTCACATAGACATGGCAGATTTTCCAAATGTCTCTGCATATTGTCAACATCTCAAATCTTTGTCGAATCAACTCAAGAATGTCGGTTTTCCCGTCGACAACAACATACTTGTTCTTCAACTAGTCTCTAGTCTCACTGAGCCCTACAACGGTGTGGCCACCCTTATTCGCCAAAGTGATCCCTTGCCCCAATTTTATTAAGCTCGTTCGATGCTCACTCTTGAAGAGGCCGGCCTTACCAAAAAGGTAGCATAGAACTCGTCATCTGCCATGATTGCTCGTGACTCGGATGACTCTTCTGATATTTCTGATTATCCCTCTTCGAACCGCAATAATGGTGGGAAAAGGAGCCAAAATCGCAACAATAATGGAGGGAAAAATCGTCCCAACAATGGTGGTCGTGGCGGCGAAAAGGGCGGCACCAGCCGTTGGGGTATAATCAGAGGCAACAATAGTCGCGGTGGTGGATAGTAGCAAGCCAGTCAGCAAGCTCCGGCCAATGTCCCATGGCCTGGCGGACAACTGTGGCCTTGGCAGTGGATGGCTCCATGGGCTATACCTCCTTGTCCGTACCCTTCTAATTCATGGGCCAGCCCCAAATTTGGACAGCAACAGCGTCAACAGCCTAGTGTACTTGGGCCCAGACCTCCGCAAGCCTACACTTTAGCACCAACTCCAACATACATAGAAGTCACAATGCATACTCTCGGCATCAATCCTCCAGATGCAAATTGGTACATGGACATTGGTCCTACTTCTCACATGACATCCGCACAAGGTAACCTCAC